TCCTGGAACCCCTCCACGCGCTCTCTGCCTCACTCCACCACAGACGCGTTTTCCTTCCGGGCTCCAAAGTCCCTGTCTGAACTCTCCTCCTCCTTGTGGGAGTTTTTCCTTCACAGAGAGTTCTAGGTCCTACAGGTTTGCTAAGAGACAATGGACAGGGGAAAAGAGAGTGTATGACTTTTTTGTCAGAAAACCTAGCTGGGAATCCCAAAGCTGCTTCCACCTAACACTGATTGGGCCGTGTTTCTGGACCTCCCACCTGGAAACTCAGGATGATAACATCTGCCTCAGAGAGTTCCCTCCCAGTGCCCGGCTTGGGGGGCTCTTGGTGTGTGATGTTCCCCTCTAGGTCTCCTGGCCGGGATCACAGCTGCAAAGCGATGCTGGCCTCTGCTCTGCTGGCCTTTTATTGTCTGCTGGCATTGTTCAGCCGCACACTCCACAGCAACTAGATTTCTAGATTTCTTTCTCTCTCTACAAGCCGCCAGGTTTTCTTTATCCCTTTTCTTTTAGGAAAATAATTTCCCTTCCCTCCCTTTCTTGTCCCTGCCTTCACTTTGAGCTGCAGGTGCCTGCCTCCCACCGAGCCCTGGGGGATCCTCTCCCTCTCCCTGTCCTCATTCTGACCCTAGGACAGGCCTGGATCCCGTCCCTTCCCTTGCTGGGTGGCTGGTCTTGTGTGACACTCCCTTCTCAATGTCCACCGATTGTGACTTTTCTCTCCTCTGTGGCTTCTCACTTCCACCTGATAATAGCGTGGGCACCCCTTGCACACCCGCGTGCCCCCTCCAGTCCTGGGTCACAGCTGCTTAGTCGCTGCTGGGTTCCGGAGGAGTGGTGTGGTGTCTGCTCCTGCCTCTTGGCCTCCAGCGCCTCCCCTGAGCTTTGCAGTCAGCCTCTCCTCTCTGCAGAACTTTGCAGAAGCAAACTTGTTCTTGTCCAGCCTGTGTGCTTCACCTGCAGTCTTGGCCCTCCTTGGCTTTTGGGATAGATCCTGGCTTCTCCCTGCCTCCCCTGACCTGGGGGCTGAGGGATGGGGGATTCCCAGGGCCCAGCTGCAGATCTTCCTTATTCTTTACATGTCTCTCCTTGGTGGGCTTACCTGTCCTGTGGCTTCCACTGGCATCGTCCAGTTGGCCCCACCTGCATCACCAGGAGGACTCTCGGCACAGGGCGGGACGTTAACAGTGCCTACGTCATTGGTGGTGGGGAGGAGTAAATGAGATATTACTATTCAAATGCACAGAACTCGCTTTTGTAGGCACAATGAATCTGTGAGCTACTGTCACAGTATGATTTTGGGCCCTGTGTGACGACTCCCTGTCTCCCTGTCCACCTGATCCATTGATGTGTTCACCTGCCCCCTCACCTTCCTCACATGGCCGATTCCTTCCAACACTGCCCTTCTCTTTCTTACCTCCCACTCTGTGTTACTGGCGGCCCGCCCACCTCCAGTTGGGAAAGCTGTATTCCCTCTCCTGCTCCTTGTATTAGCCTGTTCTCGTGCTGCTAATAAATACATACCCGAGACTGGGTAATTTATAGAGGAAAGAGATTTAATTGACTCACAGTTCAGCATAGCTGGGGAGGTCTCACAGTCATGGCTGACGGTGAATGAAGAGCAAAGTCGTGTCTTACATGGCGGCAGGCAAAAGAGAGCATGTGCAGGGGAGCTGCCGTTTATAAAGTCATTAGATCTCGTGTGAGACTTATTCACTATCACGATAACAACATGGGAAAGACCTGCCCTCATGATTCACTTACCTTCCACCGGGTCCCCTCCCATGACACTGGCAATTATGGGAACTACAATTTGAGATGAGATTTGGGTGAGGACTCGGCCAGACCCTATTCTCCTTTTTTCTACCCTGCCCATCCCTGACCTCATTTAGGTCACAGCTTAGTGTCTGTGTTTTTGGAAGCTTTTGCTGACCCTCTGAATCTGAGCTGCCACCCACTGCCACCCTGCCCCAGCACACTGTCCTCTCCTGTCGTAGTGACACTGACTACTTGTATAGGGCATGTTCGTTTGTTCCCTGCTAGGCTGTACGGAGAGCGGGCACTGCCTGGGTCTCTTTCGTCACAGTGTCCTGCATAGGACACATCATGTAGTTTGAACAGCAAGCAAACCCATCCTATCATTGTGAGACCACCCTTGCCCAGCACACGAGTGTGTGCGCTCACAGACACATGCTTGCTCTTATGACAATGTGGGTTTTTCACCAGGGGAAACTCCTAATGGTGGAGAGCTGGGGTGACTGCTCTGCCTAAGGATGGAGGCAAGTACCTCTGGCTTCCTCAGAAGGGTGCCACACAGCACCCTGAAAGGTAGAGGAGGCACCAGGTTGTGCTTTTATTGTATCATAGGCCAGCTTGGGGGCCCTTACAGGGTGTCTCATTCAATGGAGTTCCTTGCTTAGGAGATTGTATCCCAGAACAAGGTCACAGGTGAGGGACTGGCAGAGCCAGCAGTTCAAGCTGGGCCACTGCTGTTGGTCTCTGTAATTGCTTCCCATTGCAGTGGAAGTTTAACCACGTCCTCAGTGAAGTGCCGGGACCTTCCGTGGGCACATGAACAGAATGGCTGCCCCTGGGAGGCATGTCTATCCTCAGTCCCGTGGCCCAGCTGTTCCGACGACCTCCACATGTGAGGTGTCGGTGGCTGGTTTAGAACCCACACTGGGAGCAGGGCCGTGAGCCCGCATTCATTCCCCTTGAACTTGGTGCTGGGGTAGCAGTGACAGCCATTTTTCTGGCACCCTCTGTGCAGGATGTGCTTGGCGAGGGCCTCAGGGCCCAGCAGAGTGGGAGTGGGCCTGGGCAGGGTGGACGTGCTCTGCTTGCTGGGTCCTGGGCACTGCTGGCATTTTCCCCTTCTCTATGCAAGATGCCCTAAGGAGGCTGCACTGCCCTCCTCTGCCTGGATGTTTATGCTCAGCTGCATTTGAACTCTACATATATTGGAATCTTTTTTTCATAGTTGGTCCAGAGACAAAACCATGGAGTCACAGGCAGTGCAGGAGCCCGGCTCTATCCCCGCTCCTCAGGTTACTTGCATAAACCCTCTCTTAAGCCTCCATTTCCTCTGATGGACATTCTGAACCTCCATGACTTGGATGCCTGGCCAGTCAGAAATGTTAAAACACGAGCATGTTGACTACCTGGTACCCCCTCACCTAGGGGCAGAGGTCCAGCTTCCCCCTGTGGTGTCAGAGGCCTTTGTACCCCAACCCTGCCTGTCCCGCCAGCCTCATTTTGCCCCATTGCCAGTGACATCATGCTGTGTGACACGCCATGGTCGGGACAAGGGGAGCCAGGGAGCAAATGCAAGCCTGCCCAAGGTGGAGTGTCTCCTCTGGCCATTCCTGGGACCCCAGTTCTTGCTCTCCGCAGGGGACAGTGAGGAAGGGGCGAGATTATCTTTTACTCACTGGGGTGCTTGTACAGGTGGCAAAATTCAACTTGAGGCCGGTCCAGGTGAACCTGTGTCGAATGCTCTCCAGGCTCTGCTGTCCTGGGGTTGTGTGTGCACCTCTTGGCCATGTTGGACCCTGGAATTTGTTTTTCATCCTTAAGAAGGAAAAAGTGGTTTTATTTTACCCGGTTAGCTCTATTCTTCGGGCTTCTTCAGGCTGCCCTCTGCTGGATGGTTCTGGCAACAGCGTCTGTAGCCTTCCTCTCTCATAACTCATTTTACTCTCGCACAAACCACTGGGAATCAGGAAGAGAGATGCTGACGGTCAGGTGATGGGATTTCTTCTCTGGTGCTATATGCTGTGAGGCGCCTTTCTCGAGCATACAAGAAACTCTTAGGAGTGTCCAACCTTGGTCAGGTCTCCTGAAGTTGCCCAGCATTCTCACTGACTTGTATTTCTGGCATAAAAAAGGAGAGATTTAGCAGTGTCTGAGACATGCTCCTGTTCTGGAAGCCCTTTCTGAAGTTTGCGCTTATCATGTGGCATTCAGGAGTGCAGGTGAACGCTGACTCCCTTATTCCTGGCTATGTAGCCCTTGGGGAAGTTGGCTGACTGACTCATCCTGGTTCACCTGTGACTGTCCTGGTTTTAGCATGGAAACAACCTGAGAACATCCTCAGTCCAGGCAAACTCAGGCACTGGGTCACCCTGCAAGGTGACTGACTTTTGGAAGCCTAATATCCTCAGCAGAGATACTATGACCTACTTTTTAGGGTTGTTCAGGAAGTGAACAACCCTAAAAAGTAGGTCATAGTATCTCTGCTGTGACCCCTACCTGTGGGGTCTAAGCAGGTATTGCCAGTTTTCTAGGGCTGCTATAGCAAAGTAACACAAACTGGGTGCCTTAATACAACAGAAATCTATTGTCTCATGGTTCTGGAGGCCAGAAATCTGAAATCCCAGTGTTACAGAGCCACCCTGCTTCTGAGAGCAGTAGGGAAGTGCTTCCTTGCTTCCTCCCAGCTTCTGGTGGTTTCTGGCAGTCTTGGGCAATCCTTGGTTATAGACCCATTACCCCAATCCGCCATCTCCCAGAGCGCTCTCCCTGTGTCCCCGTCTTCATGCACCATTGTCCTTCTGTGCATGTTTGTCTCTGCACTCATATTTCCCCATTTTAACGGACGTCAGCCATACTGGATTAGGGCCCACCCTAATAACCTCATTTTTAACTTGGTTACCTCTCTAAAGTTTTCTTCTCCAAATAAGGTCACGTCAGAGGTACTGGGGATTAGGGCACCAACATATCTTTTTGAGGGCACACAGTTTAACCCATACCAGCAGGGCTAGCTTTGACTCTTAGTGTTATTTCTATCACCACCATTGCAATCGTTAAGAAATGAAGAAAGGACTAAGAAACAGATCCTGTTCCCCAGAGCAGATGGCAGGAGGGGCCGGGTAGGGCAACCTCCTTCATAAAGTGGGGGTTGACCTGGTTGCCGGAATTCAGCTCCTGGGCACCATTTCACTACAAAAGATACAGAAACAATCCTTCTAACCTCTCGGCTTTGGTTCTGCTTGCTATAGATGGAGCAGGTGAGGAATGAGCTACTTCAGGAGAGAGCCGCGAGGCAAGACTTGGAGTGTGACAAGATTTCCCTGGAGAGGCAGGTGAGGGCAGCTGGCCTGTGAGCTGCTCCCCCTCCATCCCGCTAACCCTCCCCCACTTCACTGGAGGGCCCTCCTTCACTTGGCATCTCCAGAACTCTGGGATGGGGGCTGACAGTCCTTTTCCGGAGTTGTTTTTCGCAGTCATATTAAATCTGCAAGGAAAGTTTGGCAGCTGAGGGAGGAGGAATTGCATGTGGTATTTTCTAGATCCTGAAGAGGGCTACATTCTAATGTAAAGAGGATGAAAAAGAATCCCTGTCACCAGACACATGAGTGACTAAGAAAGCTTCTTCAGACTGTTGTTTCTTTTACATGGTTTCTGTTCATGTTCTTCACTGCACGTGATTGGCAAAGGAGCCGATTTCTCCTGCCCCCTGTAGATTGATAGGGCAAGGCAAAGCCTTTTTGACATCCAGGAGTCTTAGGACTTGGCAAAGATTTCTTTCAGGCTTATGAGGGAGTGTGATAGAACCTCTTCTTCGGGCCTGCACCTGAGTTCAGGGGGTTTCCTTGGAAACATCTCTGGGTTCCCCAGGTCTCCAGGCCACAGGTCCTGGTGCAGAAGGCAGCCTCATCACAGGCAGTGACCAAACGCCAGGTTCCACCCCATATTTTTCGCTGCTCTGCACAGCGTGTGGCAGACACATAGCCCCTCACGGTCTCCTTATGTGGTTCCAGAACAAGGACTTAAAGAGCCGGATTGTCCACCTGGAAGGTTCCTACCGCTCCAGCAAAGAGGGGCTGGTTGTGCAGATGGAGGCCAGGATTGCAGAGCTGGAGGACCGCCTGGAGAGTGAGGAGAGGTAAGCTGGGCCCACGGCAGTGCAGAGGCCCCAGTGGGCAGTGACGGTCCCATTGCAGTGTGCTCTCACGTTTGAAATTTCTCCCCATCCTCGTAGCCTGTGAGGAAGGCAGAGCAACTACAAACTTACTTTTATTATTTCCATTTAAGAGATGAGAAAACAGAGACCCATCAAAATCAGTGACTTGAGTCAGGTAGCCCGGCTAGACACTGGTGTAGCTGGGTTAACGCTTAGGACTCCACTTCTCAGTCCATGGTGGTGCCGCTGTCCTTGCTGTTCCTCTTCCGTTCTCTTGATAGGACAGGCTGCCTCGGGAGCTACCAAGTTAGAGCCAGGTTAGAGGCCAGAAGGCTGGCTCTGCCCTGGGGGCCAGGTGTATTTAAGCAGAGGCCGATTGGCCACCAGTAGGAGATGGGGCAGTTCCTACCCCAGTGGGTGGGAGGGATGTAGGATTCAGTGAGCACACTCCTTTCCAACAACTCAATTCTCTGCAGCTGACTCTTGAGTGACAGCCTGAGGGCCAGCACCAGGTTGAACTTGACCAGCCTTCCAGCCATAGTTCTGACTCACAGCCTCTCACCTTCCTAGAAGGGGCATGGTATGCAGGCATTTGACACTTCAGATTATCTACTCTGTTAGTTGGACTTTTGGGGAGTCAGGCCAGAACAGCCTGGAGTAGACCCAGGACATCTGCAGTTTGTGACTTATTGCCTTACAAAGTAAAGCTCAGGAACTCCGGGCGGTTCTAGCCCGCGCTCAGCCCCTTGCTGGCCCTGCAGCCCTGGGCCAGTCACTCCCCTTCTCAGAGCCTCATTTCCCCACCTCTCTCACAAGCAGCTTTTCTTCCTGTGTAACTGTGTTTCGCTGACCCTAAGCCTTGAGCTGACAAAGCACCCCTGGCTGGAGCTTGCCCTCCTCCACAGCCTGGGCTGGGCCCCGGTAGGGATGGGAGTGAGAGCGTTCTTGGTTCTGCCTCCCACTTCCAGGGATCGGGCCAACCTGCAGCTCAGCAACCGGCGGCTGGAGCGGAAAGTGAAGGAGCTGGTGATGCAGGTGGATGATGAGCATCTGTCACTGACCGATCAGAAGGACCAGGTGGGGGCCTCTGTGTGCATTTGTCCTCAGATGAGATTGCATGTCTCAGCCTGGGGCAGAAAGGAAGCAAGGCCTCCCTGAGCAGGGTGGAGTGTGAGTGGGCTGATTCCTTCCCTTCCACGCACCTGGTTGTATCATAGAATGGGGGCTTCTTGCCTACATAATTAGGGGATATCAGCAAATTCCACACCCTGATTTTGGCTTTTAAATAATAACCTTGTCTTACCACCTGATCTCCATGTTTCCCCATTGCCCCTGTCCTGGTTGCCTGGGGAGACGGTGGCTGGACCTGGGGTGGATTGAGTGTCGGGGCTGGGCCATCAGCTGGCGCTCAGACCCACCCTCTCTCCCAATGCAGCTGAGCTTGCGTTTGAAAGCCATGAAGCGGCAGGTGGAGGAGGCGGAAGAGGAAATCGACAGACTGGAAAGTTCTAAAAAGAAGCTGCAGAGGGAGCTGGAGGAGCAGATGGACATGAATGAGCATCTGCAGGGGCAGCTCAACTCCATGAAGAAGGACTTAAGGTGGGCAGATGTGGAGGACACAAAGAGCCCGGTAATCCCCCCATGGGTGAGGCAGGCTCTGCCTTCAGAGCATTCTCACTCCTGTTGTCTCAAAGCCAGCTCCTCACCGTTGCTTTTGGGGTTATCTTATCCTAGAGGTGAAGGTGGCTGTGTCCACTTCAATCATCCTACATGGGCAGTAGGGTCTCATGCATGTCATTCTTAAACCAATGCCCCAGTGCCAGCTGGGCAGATATCCCTGTTGATCATAAGGGGAAACTGAGGCTTAAGGCAGATCAGACTAGCTCACACCATCATGGAGAGGCAGTTCCTGGGCCAGCCTGTTTCTGTCTGACTTAGGGAGATAAGGTGAAGTTCTGATCTGTATCCTCATGAAGACTAGGATTCCCCAAGCCTGGTTTCCAGGAGAGAGCAGCTCTCTGAAGCTTTTCTGCCGTGGTCCTTAGGTTGGGGATGTGGAGTGGAGGGTTGGGGGGCTGTGTGGGTTGCTTTCTCTGTTCTAGGGTCTCTGCTCAGGGTATGAGGTAAGGTTCATGAGATTAGGTTCATGCTGATCCATAGAGCTGAGCCTTTCTTGGAGGCTGGCTGTGACCTGGGGCTCTGTGCTGGGTGCCGGGTAGTTCTCCTATATGGACAGAAGGCTCCAGCTCATTGAGGATCCTGTAAAACAGGGCCTGTCAGCTCATTGGCCCCAAGGTCAGCATTAGGGTGCAACATTTAAGAGAGCATCAAAAATCTCAGTAATTGAGGTAGATAACATTTTAGAGCAATATTTAAAAGATAATAAGTGTAATCCATGGTGAACAAAATACCAGAATTTTAAATTAAGACAAGATCGATAACAGCCTGGGGAAATCAACAATACCAATCCTGTCCCAGCCCAGCCCACCCCATCAACAAGGGCTTTCCGTGCTGAGATGGGGGCAGTGAACTACCTGTGGCTGAAGGGACCATCAGGTGCAGACCTGCTAAGTTCATGTATTAATTTTCTGTGCCACTCAGTGGCGTGCAGAGACAGCAACCCAAAACCCTTCCTTCATCTACAAATTAGCGACTGGCCCTGGCGAAGGGCCTGGAAACATGCCCCTTGTTGTTTCAGCAGACTGAAGAAGCTGCCGAGTAAAGTGCTGGATGACATGGATGACGATGATGACCTCAGCACGGACGGGGGAAGTCTCTACGAGGCGCCCCTGAGCTACACCTTCCCCAAGGACAGTACCGCCACCAGCCAGATCTGAGTGCGCTCCCGGGCTGTGGAAGTGGCTGTCATCCCTGCAGGAGCTGCAGCCACCCATAGCAGGAGGCAGGGAGGGGAGCATCTGTCTGCCACCGACACCGTTGCCACCAGTTTGCACAGCATGCCAGTTCCTCAGTGTTACGTTCCTCTACAGGGTCTCTCAGTGGGTCTTCAACAGGGAGCTTTTGCGGTTTAAGACATTCGGATGCCTGAGGAACAGGAGCTACCACCTACTGGGGTGTTGTGAGAAACACACTTTGGCAGGCTGAGGTCACTGTTCCACAGTCACTATTTCCATTGCTGTCCCTGCCCACCCTCTCACTCCCCCTGCCCAGACAAAGGGTCCAGAAGGCTAGGTCTTATTTAACAGCACTGTGCAGGGAGGAAACAGTATAGAGCTTGTACATATTTTAAACCAGACCTTACGGACTGCTGCTGTTCTGTTTGGAATGTGACGGAGGCTTTTAGGGCGGCTGGTTTGTAAAGTTCACGCACCTATATTGAGTATTTTTTTTTTTTTTTTTTTGAGACGGAGTTTTAATTTTGTTGCCCAGGCTGGAGTGCAATGGTGTGATCTCTGCTCACTGCAACCTCTGCCGCCCAGGTTCAAGTGATTCTCCTGCCTCAGCCTCCTAAGTAGCTGGGATTACAGGTGCCCGCCACCCCTTCTGGTTAACTTTTTGTATTTAGTAGAGATGGGGTTTCGCCATGTTGGTCAGGCTGGTCTCCAACTCTTGACCTCAGGTGATCCACGTGCCTCAGCCTCCCAAAGTGCTACGATTATAGGCATGAGCCACTGCACCTGGCCTTCGAGTATTCTTTTTTAAAATATGAAGCTATTAGATTATAAGTATTAAGGAGCAGAGGTAGGAGAGAGAGTAAGTCAAATAAAAACCACTTTGGAAACCAGGGTTGGAAAAAAAGAATCGTATTGGTCACGGACAACTAAAACCAAGAAAAGCCGTTCACGTGGTCTGGGTAAACAGCACATTGGAAGAGGAGAAAGCCAGAAGGTCACTTGTGTCTATGGCCGCAGCTATGCCCTGGTTTGCTTATTTTATCTAGAATTCGATTACCATTTCTGAACCCTGCTGAGACCCGTTCCCAGTCACTGACTGCAGTTTCTTCTACACAGGTGGGGTAGGGAGACTTGTCAATAAGGTTTTAAACAAATGATGCCGTTTCTGGAATGATGGGGCTCTGTGGTCATGTCTTACTGGTCCTTTCCCCCTCCTCCAGCAGCAGGCTTTTGGGATTGGAGGATTAGGAGGATATGGGGGAAAGGTTCATGGACTTAGCTGTGAGAACGAGCGGAGAGGTGTCCGGTAAGGTCATGGGGGAACGGAGAGGAGAGAGGAGATAGGCAGGTGTGGGTGTGGGTCCTGTGTGAGAAAGAAGACGGAGAAGTTCTTGCAAGCTGGGGGTTGTGTAGGCCAGAGGCGGGTTGAGTAGGAGCTCAGGTTTATGTCGAGGAAGGGAAGGAAGACGGAAACAGAAGTCAGGCAGAGGTGTGTCTGTGCAAACTAGAGGACTCCTTCCAACTTTGTGGGAAGAGACATCACGAGCAGCAGGCTGGCAGGGAATGGTTGAGGTCTGGGGGCAAGGCCACATGACTGGAGAAGAATTTTGGTAGGGTGCTAGGTATCCGGGCACTCCCTCCTGGCATTGCTGTGTCACTTCACATTGTGACAGTCCCCAGGCATGCCCATAGGCCAGGTCCAATCGCAGCTGGGCTTCCACAGGTCAGAGTATGGGATAGGCAAGTCAGTAGGGATGTGGCCAGGGAGAGGACAGTGAGTTGGTGACATATATGGGGCAGAGATTGTAGTGTTCAGCTGCTTCCACAGTGTCCCCGGGCATCCCAATAGGTGGGAGACTGGTGGGCCAGAGAACTCCATGACAGTTGCCATGGAGTCCCACCTGCGCCAGGTCAGAGCCCACCCAACAGGATTCAGAGTGGTCAGCCCAGTTTAAGGGTGGGAGTCTGCAGCCAGAGAGCCAAGCCCCTTCCATGTCTACGGGGTCACCATCATCCTCACCACAGCCGGGGGGTGATTCTCTCCTTTGCTTGCTTATGTGGGGTATGGACGCTTCCTCCCTTTAGCCGTTCATTCATTTAGCAGATTACTGAGCATTGATGATGTGTCAGGTACAGTCCTTGGCACAGAGACTACAGCAATGAATTAAACAGCTGCAAATTCCTCCCCTCTTCGAGCTCAGTGTTGGGAATGGGGGTGAGAGATGACAAACAAACTGACATGGAGGTTGAACACCTCTGTACTCAGCCCTTTGTCTCTCTGTCCTGAGGACATGACAAGCCTGGTTCCCTAGAGCTCACTTTGACCTGCAATATGTTCACAATTTCCCTGCTGCTTCTGCCATCATTCGACATCTGTCAATAAGCCCGCCTAGAGAAGCCTCAGCCCCCTCATACCTAGAGACAGAGCTGGGGAAGGTCAGCACGCCCAAGAACTGCGGGAGCGTGTGTGTTTCGGTTTGTGAGCAAGTAGCTGCCCCTCATTCTGGCCAGTTCTTTGCGGTGGCCATGAGGCCGGCTACAAGAAGCAGAACTGTCCATGCAAAGAGGACAGAGGTCACCTTTCAGGATACTTGCATCATACCGTAAAAATAGGCTGTTAAACATTTTGACAATTGTGCTATCCTACAGTCTGAGGGTGCTGGCAACGCATGCGGATTAGTGGAGTGGGAAGAGTTAAGAGACTGGAAGTTAATTAAGAGAAGGGTTTTCAAGTCCCGGCTCATCTCACCCCAGTGACCTTGACAGTTGCTCAATCTCAGAGCCATGGATTGCCTGGGACAAAGTGAAGATTAGGGCCCACGGTCCTTTCCAGATATAACATGCTATCATTATTTAATTTTATTATATATGCATATTTTTTTTTTTCTTTAAGAACTAACCCAATCAAGAATATTTTCTTTAGGTAGCTTAAAAAGAAAACATGTATTTTATTTAAAAACACATACATGGCCAAATGCAATACTGAAGAGACAATCGTCCTGTATCTTTTATGTTTTTTTCCTGCTTTGGAGTGTCATTCTGCAGTGCCATCCGGCTTATTCCCGCGGGTTTCTGCTTTGGGGTATGGTTTGGTTGCTTTGGGTTGTCATGGGAAAGAGACATTCTTCTTGCAGCTACCTCCATCTCAGTGAATTCCTGGATAAAGCAAGATTTCCTTTCAATAAACGCTGTCACCCAGTGGGAATTTTGACTCTCCTATGATTGTGACTTCTTGGTTTTCTTCAGAGCTTGGCTCTGTGTCCTCTGAGAAACTGCCAGTGTGAGCGGCTGGGAGCTACTGGGGAAGTGGAACTTGGAGATCTTCCAGCCCTGGGGCCGGTTTCTGAAATAGAAGGGTGGGGACTGGTCAGTGATGAATGCTGAGGGAGTCAGCAGCCCTGGATGCTTGTGATGTTCTGAAAAATCCAAACTACCTGTTCCAGAAAACGGCAAAAGAGGAAGCATGTTCAATGTTAACAATCAACTGGAGCCCCCTGGCTACCCCTTCTTCTAAATTTGAGTTATTCTGTCATCGTAGCTGGCGCACAGTCTGTTGGTCTCACACCAGGCCCGTAGCAGGCACCACAGTCTATTTTACAGGAAACAAAAGCAGCTTCCATGTGGAAGGGGACCTACGATGGTCATTGTCCTCAGATCTGTCTATCCTTTGCCCTGTCCTCTGGAGACTGACCTGTATAGGCCCTGGGTTCCTTGATGGCCACTCTGGTTGGGTTCAGCCAGTGGGAGCAGGTGGAATTCTGGACATGTCTCACTCTCTGCTCTGTGTGGCTTTCTTGGGTGGGCTCTCCTAGGACTTGGGTGACCTTCTCTCCTTGAGCCTCTGGTTCTAAGGGTGGTCACGGCTTCCTCTTGCTGTTCCTCTCTGGGTCCCTGCCCTGGTGGGTTCCTGTCACACTGCCTGGCCACCAGAGAGCCCTTCATTGAGCCGCCGCGGTTCACTGCTGTGTCCTGCCCAGAGCTCTGTCCACAGCCTCCTCTGCCTCCCGGTCCATGTAGACATTCTCTGCATTCAGCAGTCCGGCAGCGCGGACTCTCACTCTAACTGGAAGGAGTAACCCAATGTAAATGAGAATTTCTAATTTTCATAAGTGCAAAGCCTTTGTAGAGATTGTTGATTTCTTTTTTAAAGTCAGATACTTGACTTTATTGAGGTCTGTAATTTTCTAATTTGTAGTAAAAGTCACTCTTTTTTTAGCATCAGTTGCTTTTGTATTTAGGCCGCTGGATTTGGCCACTCTGCCGAGGTCCTCTGGGTGGGAATGAGATTCTGAGCCGATACCTTGCCCTCAAGCCCTCTGGAAGAATGTGACTCGGGAGGTCCAGAGCCAAAGGAGAAAGGTCCCCGCAGGCCAGCAGTTCATTTCCTTCACGTTCTCAGCATTCCTCTCCTGAGCTTGTGTTAGAGGGAGCCTGTCTTTGTGAAAGACTGTCATTAGCCAGAAATGTTTCTGTTCTAAATCTTCAAATGATTGGGGAGAATTGACTTGACAGCAGGGTCCAAGCGTTCTAGGTTCCGCAGAGGGATTCACATGGCTTGGTCCTGTGCTCAGACCTGCCGAATACCTAGGGCTAAAGACTGTCGCTGACTTTCACATGCATGACTGAGGCCCAGCCCGTCTCTGCCAATGAAGAAAGATTGGGGTGTGTGCCCGTAACTGGGTCATTAAAGCTGGAGAAATTCAAGTCAGAAAGACGTTCAACAGTAATAGGGATGGTGTAGGGGGAAGGTTGCGAGGTTCCCACTGTGCAGGATCTCACCTCGTCTCACAACAGTTGTCAGCAACTCCTAGGGGATGGGAAGTGGGAGTCCAGAGTTTTGCTGAGTAAATGCAATTAAACATTTTTTGGAGAATGGTAGAAACTGGTTTTTTGGGAGGTAAGGAAGCTGAGTCTCAGGGAAGTTGGGCATTTTCCCATCAGCTGCACATGGGGTAAGTTACCTGCCCACGATTGACACCTGCCGCCATGGGCCGCTGGCAAGCAAGGTTTAGGCCGTGGTCTAGGACCTTTGAGTGCTGACAGTAGGTTATTAAAGTAAATGGAAATGACGTGTAAATATTACAGGTATTGATCGACTTTACGACCTGCGCAACTTACGACCATTCGACTTTACGACCACAATCGCTAGCCACGACTGCTCCGCGTCTGGCAGCGCGAACGTTGCCCAGCTGGGCGTAGGACAGTGCGGACCGGCTTCCGGCAGCACCACCATCTCCGCGTGCACCATTTCAACCGTACATATAGTCTACTCAGCTTACGACCAAATCGTGTTCCGACCGTGGTCGTAAGCCGAGCACTACCTGTAAGTCCATTACATATTTATGGGATGTCAAATGTGTCTGTTTTTCCTTGTACTTTGCTAGCTTTCTATCTGCAGTCTGTACCCACTGGTTTCCCTGAGACGTGTATGATTCCACCGCTAATGTGTTGAGCACTCACTGGCCATGTATCAGGCATTGCCTAAGTCCTTTATACCCGTTGACTCTCTTGATCTTCATAACCAACCCC